CGTTCAGCCTTAACTAGGGAGTGGGGGAGGAGTCCTGGAACAAGGAACAGGTGAGTGATCGAGTGCACCTGTTACAGGGTCTTTACCCTTGTTGATGCTAGAGATGCCTTTTTGCAGTGCAAACTAGATGAAAAGAGTAGCTACATGGCCACATTCTGGACTCCTTGGGGCAGAAAAAGATGGCTCAAACTGCCATTTGGAGTCTCTGTAGCACCAGAAGTATATCAGCGAAAGCAGCATGAACTATTATGTGGGCTCCATGGAATTGAGCCAATAGCTGATGACATTCTCATAGTTGGCTGTGGTGATACAGATGAAGAAGCTGTGCATGACCATGATGAGAAGCTAATAGCACTACTGGAGCGTTGCAGGCAGGTGAGGCTGAGACTCGGCGTAAAGAAATTGCAGTTCAGGGTGCAAGAAGTCCATTTCCATGGGCATATCCTGTCCTCACAAGGCTTAAAAGCAGACCCTGATAAGATTAGAGCCATTGTGGACATGCCACAGCCTGGCGATGCCAAAGCAGTACAGCGTTTTATTGGCTTTGTCACATATCTAGCTAAATTTATGCCACACTTGTCTGAGGTGTGTCAGCCGTTAAGAAGACTTCTGGATAAGGATGCAGTTTGGCACTGGCTTCCCAAACATGACCAGGCAGTGGAGAAAATAAAACAATTGGTCACCGCCGCTCCTGTGTTGAAATATTATGATGTCACAAAACCTGTTACAATACAAAGTGATTCAAGCAAGAATGGCCTAGGATGTTATCTATTGCAAGATGAGCAGCCAGTTGCATATGCATCCAGAGCTCTTTAAACAGCCGAGCAAAATTATGCTCAAATCGAAAAAGAATGTTTAAGCATTGTGTTTGCCTGCCAGCGTTTCCATCACTATCTTTATGGCCGTGATACGATCACAGCTGAAACAGATCACAAACCACTAATAGCCATATTTAAAAAGCCCCTTTTGTGTGCTCCTAAGCGTTTGCAGAGCATGATGCTTACATTGCAGCATTACAACCTCAATGTTGTCTACAAGCCAGGAAGTGAAATGTACATCAGTGATACCCTGAGCAGAGCTACTGCGAATCATGTGACACCCAGAAGTGAGCATGAGCATCATACAGTTTGTTTGCTGCAACAGGAACAACATTTCTTTGCCGAAATCAATCAAGCAGACTATCTTAACGTCACAGATCAGCGGCTGCATCAGCTTCTACAGCACACAGACAGAGACGAAACTTTACAAGCGCTGAAGTCTATTGTTCTAAGTGGGTGGCCTGATGACAAGGATGCAGCACCTGCAATTGTGAAGGAGTATTGGTCCTTCAGAGATGAGATCAGCGTACAAAATGGTATCTTATACAAAGGCCCAAGAGTTATAGTGCCAAAGTCACTGAGAGCAGAAATGTTATTACGCATTCACTCAAGCCACATCGGGGGTGAGGCATGCTACAGACAAGCTCGCGATACTCTTTACTGGCCTAATATGCAAGGTGAAATCAAAGATTTTGTCAGCAATTGTCCCACCTGCAATGAATATGCACACTTGCAACAAAAAGAGACCATGATGTCACATGAGATACCTACACGTCCTTGGCAGATTGTCAGTATAGACTTATTCAACTATGCGGGAAAAGAGTACCTGATATTAGTTGATCATTACTCAGACTTCTGGGAAATTGAACTGCTTCCTGACTTATCCACTGAAACTACAGTTAAGAGGTGCAAGGCGCAGTTTGCACGTCATGGCCAACCAGATAAAGTGATTTCTGATAATGGCCCTCAGTTCTCAAGCTTACAATTCAGAAAATTTGCCTTTGAATGGGAGTTTGAGCATGTAACTTCCTCACCACGGCATCCACAGGCTAACGGCAAAGCTGAATCTGCGGTGAAGATTGTAAAAACTTTATGCAAGAAAGCACAAAGTGATGGTAAAGACCAGTGGAAGGCCATCTTACATTGGAGGAACACTCCAACTGTGGGCATGGATAGTAGCCCAGCACAGAGACTGATGTCACGAAGATTAAAGACCTCCTTACCTGTCACCAACAAGTTACTTGAACCCTCTGTGATACAAGGGGTACCGGAAAAGTTACGGCTTAAGAGGCAAGTGTTCAAGGCACAATATGACACATCTGCAAGAGATTTGCCTGAATTGAATATTGGGGAACGAATCCGTATGAAACCGCTGCCTGGAGATCGAACAAGTCGTTGGAGAATGGGTACTTGTCTGCGAAAGGTTGCACCACGCTCCTATCTTGTGGACATTGATGGAACTCTCTATCGTCGCAATCGTGTGGATCTGCGTGTGGCTGAAAAGCCTGATTCACATTATCCAGTTGACAGGCCAGACTCGCCTGGTAATGCAAGGGCAAACTCACCAATTGGTGGTAGGGAATGTACAGTGATGATGCCACAGACTAATGTTAATGACAGTCCGGAGCAAGCAGGTATATCGGACGGGAGTGAAGAGCAGAGCATGCCAGTAAGTGGTGAGAAGAGCCCAGTAACCTCGGAGAGGGCTAAGAAACACTTTATACAACGAGGGCCAGTTTTCACCCGCAGTGGTAGACATTCACAACCACCCAAAAGACTTAACCTGTAAATATGTTATTACAAGGATTCATCCACATTTCACAATGATCATTTATTAAGAGGGAGATGTTATGAGTGTTATGTTTAGTTTATATGCAACTGTATGATTCATCTCTGTGGCACTTGTTTCCTGTGATGCGTTTCCTGTTCCTGTTCTGTGGGTTCTCTTCTAAGAACATGACTTCTGTACACTAATGGCTTATACTGTCATTATTACCACATAAAACAGGGGCGTGACGGGCCACTGAAGTGAATGGCACTGTAGCCACGCTCTCCGGCCGCAATGCGATCTTCCGCACGGGATCGCAAGGCACATTGTGCCTGCGGTCCAGTCCGGTGCGATCAAAATAGTGCTTGCAGCATTTCGATCGCAGCGGACCGTAGGCACAATGTGCCTTGCTCTCCCGTGCGGATGATCGCATTGCGGAGGGGCGTGACGGGCCACTGAAGTGAATGGCACTGTAGCCACGCTCTCCGGCCGCAATGCGATCTTCCGCACGGGATCGCAAGGCACATTGTGCCTGCGGTCCAGTCCGGTGCGATCAAAATAGTGCTTGCAGCATTTCGATCGCAGCGGACCGTAGGCACAATGTGCCTTGCTCTCCCGTGCGGATGATCGCATTGCGGCCGGAGGGCGTGGCTACAGTGTCATTCACTCCAATGGCCTGCCACGCCCACTCCTGCCCCACAAAAGAGTGAGCCGGCCGCAATGCGATGCAGTGCGTTCTGGCCAGAATTGGGCCGGAACGCACTGCATCTGGTGTGAACGTACCCTAAATAAAACAGGTTCCACCTGTATACCCCCTTAAGCTGGCCATACACCTTACAATTATGTGCAGATTTTCTGTGGTCAGATGGAAAAGGTGCAACAGATTCCTCCATCTACACTTAACTGTGTGGATGGAGTAATCTCCACCTGGGCCAATCTGTTGCACTTTTTCCATCTGACCACAGAAAATCTGCAGATAATTGTAAGGTGTATGGTCACCTTTAGGAGGTTATTATCATTGGTGCCTAATCTGGAGCATCAGATTCTAATTTCATGGATTTGAAGTGGTGATACATGTATTGGTGTACTTACTTTTTCCATATGACAAATCTGCATTTTCATTAATTTCTATAATACAAATGAATACATTGTGTCAATTATATCTGCCATCTGTTCAAGTATTTCTCCTTTATCTGCAGGCACTATTTGACCCACAATTTAAGGTTTGCCTGCCTCGTGAAGCTATTATGATGTACAAAAGGACCCGTGCGGTACATTGCTAAGATAATGAGGTCACAGGCAGTATTGCGACTGCAGGCTTTTATTATGAAGTGCACTGCAGCTTAGGAAGCTTTTCAGAACGAAGGCTTGTCAGCTTCAATAACCAGCCAACTGACAGAAGATTCTGCTGATGTCCAAGAATTCAATCAGATTTTGCTACACTGCATCCTCTGCGTATTAACCAGCAAACCTCTCCGAAATCACCTCTTTCTCCATAATGGATTTTATTTTATCTGCGTTTCACAACATACCAGGTAATGTCAATTTCTTTCTGAGGGTTGAATGATGCAGCAATTTCTAGATGCACCTTTTAAAAAAAATTGAATGTAATGTACTGAATGTTGTAAGTTCCTATTTCTCTGTAGCTTTGACCTAGTAACATGGTGCTGTGTAGGGTTGGGATATTAATAGTTTCTTATTAACTATTTAGATGGTCCGTTTAATGTTTATTGTGCTCTGCATTGCACACCTGCTTATTTGTACATTGATGTAAGAGACTCTTATCATCATCAATAGCATCCTCATGTATAACAAAATGGAAAAAAACAGTCGTTTATCACAATAATAAAACCTTAGTCCTAGAAAAGAACTTCATATTCATCTTCACCTATAAAATATTTTGAATAGCAATTTATTTTGCTGGAGGTGCCATTGTAATGTTTAGAAGGTTAACACAGCAACTGAGGCATATGATGTTGTCAGAATAAATGAGTGCACACAGCCAAATGGTTCTTGAAATGTTATGCAGGATGTTGTTAAAGGGGGAGAGCTTATGTTATAGCCTAATACATATAAGTAGGGTTGGGCTCGATGTTCGAGCCGAACGTGAGCTTGACTCAAACATCGTCAGTTCGTGTGTTCGGCGAATGTACTTAAGGGCCTGGTATGACTTTAAGGGGGAACCCTACACACTTTTTTTGTTGTTTTTTTATATGGGTCTGGTATAACTTTTGGGGGGAACCTCACACTTTTTTTTTTAAAGTTTGGCCCCTCCTAACATTCCTACCAGACCTAAGGGGTCTGGTATTGTTTGGGAGGGGAAACTGCACACTTTAAGAACATTTCATTTTTTTTCTTTAGAAATGTCAGTTTCGCTGCAGCAGGTTCTATACATCGTACAGATATGCCACTTTACAGGCAGCTTAAGGGGACCCCGCAAGGAACGATAGTTAAAGGAATTTTTTATTCTTTTGTTACCCTTTAAGTGATGTTAAAATCACTTCTCCTTTAAAAACTGTATTTTTTAAAAGTGTTTTTTTATTCATTGATTCCTGTCCCCCAGGGCAGTACACCAATCCCCATATCCTTTTTATGGCCAATAACTTGCATATAAGCCCTCTTAAAGGGGACAATTGTTTTTGAAAGTTCTACCCCCATTGACTTGTATTGAGTTTGAGTTCGAATTCAAACTTTTTGGATGTTCTAAAGTTCGAATTCGAACCGGACTCGGGCCTGTTCGGCTCATCACCACATACAAGCAGTGCAGAAAAAAATAATTTTGCCTTCCATTATTACTTTTTCTATCTGCATGTTTTGTAGTTTAAGTGTAACTAAAGCCAAGTAATATTTTTTTAGTTTTGAGCAGAGTGCGAAAATCTTAAGTTTTTATTGCTGTGCCAGTTTACAGTTGTGTCAGAAGGTGGGGGCAGATAGAGAAACAAAAAAATGACGTGTTTTTATCTATCTGTTACTCTATCCAAAACTTGAATACATTTTGGCATTAGATACACTGTATGGTACATTTTTATCCAAATACATGTAAAATCAAGGAAAATGAGTAGCTCTTATTAACTCAATGTAAAACCATCTTTGCTGGGAACTGGTATAATAATCAAAGTGCTTCCGATTATTACAGAAAGTATTATTAATACTAGTTTATTGTGAAATGGAGCATGGATCAATTCCAGCATGTGTTTAGTTGTAGGATGCATAGGAAAATACATTCCTGCAAGTTTGAATCTGTGATTTACTTCCTGATCCATCCCCAGGTCTGATGCTTCATATTTTGTTGCATTGCTGATGTCAGAGAGTTTAGGATGCTGCAGGGGAATAAGCCAGTCCATGCTATATAAACAGGTCTTCACTTTCAACAAAGTGTTTAAAACAGCTTCAGTGGTGATTATTAAAAATTCAACATCGCTGAGTGGAGGAACAAACAGGGGAGGGGACGGGAGCTGCCTCTAGATAGGCAGAGCCAGCTGTCATTCACGCAGCTGGGTGGATCTCGACAGTAATGTTGGTAACCGTCCTGGCTGCGGCGGTCTCAGTATACCGCAAGCTGTAGCTCCCGATATACTGAGCTTTGGGTCACGGGAGGAAGTTAGTATATATCCTCCCGTGACCCTTAAGGGATCTATGAGGAATACCACTGACCCCATAGTTCTCTTTTAAGTTGTTTAGGAATGACTATGACATTCTCCATAAAGTTATTCTTAGCTTTCATGATTCTTTCAGACATTTTCCCTCTTTTAGCAATTATCTGAGGTTAGAACATAGCTCATTGCACATCTCCTTGTACACACAATGCTTTAGGGTGTACAGCACATAACACAAGAATCATGAAGTATTAATAAGCCAGTCGTTCAGCCAGTTCTACATTCTCTTCTGTTTTTGCTTTTCCCCCCCTATTAAACACACCCTTTTGTCTGATATTTAGATATCTAAAGGTGAACTGTAGATAAATATACTGTAAGAGACACAAATCACTGCAGCTCTTGAATTAAATACATCATATATTTTTTAATGCAAGCAGTGTAAGTACCTGAATTTGACCTGGTGTCAGCTTCTTGCAGTCCTGGTAGACTGGAGTGTGAGAGGAAGAATTAACACAAGGAGCCAGTCAATGTATGTACTGACTAGAAGCATGCTGATAGGAGGGGACAGCAAAGTGACTGAGACATTGCTGCAAAGTTGGCCAAAAACATTACTGCAGTGTTGTCACCCTGTTCTCCAGCATGTCCTTCATGGACTACAAGGATGTACAGGCGTGATGAGGCTTCTTCCATCCCCTGTGTTGTGGTCCTAGAGGAAGCGCTGTGTAATTCCTACAACCCATCAATCACTGATAGTTTCACCCCTGCTTCCCATGTTTCTTGACATTAGGAACCAAACCTGACAGTCTGCTGATGAGCTCCCAAGGCAACATTGGGAGCTGCTGCAAGAGAACTGGAATATGAAGTCCAGGGCAAGATTACTACACCCCTTGAAATGGTGTTTGGGCTTAGCTTCATCCTGCCCACAGTCTTGGCTACAGTAGGAAAGAGAAAGCAGTTACTTCTGCAATTGCTGGCCTTCTTTTTAAAATGCTAGTTGCCTGCCTCAAAACGTTGAGTCACAGATGCAGACCAAGCATGACAGGTGTCAGAAAAATGGCAGAATTCTTTATCTCTCTACTTTTAGCTTTCTGAGGGACTCAGAAAGCCAAAGCATCTGCATGACAGCCAGTGAACCAGCATACTCAAAGGAGAGGTCTGCACCTGCTCTGGTCCGGATCTGCTCCGCGCTTGGTGTGAACAAGCCCTTCAATGGAACTGTTCCAGGCAGATAAACTGATTGAAATTGTGTATTCAGATTTACCTTCAGTATACATTAGCTAAATACATTCCAGGTGCAGCCAAAAAAAAGGCCAGATAAACTATTGTCAGTGCTCCAAATATTTGGGGAATGGAAACCTACGTTTATGGATGCACCAAATAATAGTTCAGTTTGAAGGGTTTGAAAACAAAGATGCGATGATTGTTTGAAATTCCCAAGTGAGACTTCACAGAAAAATGCTCACAATCTGCACCAAATGAATAAAGGTTCAGAAAATGAGTTTGTTAATATTTGGCACAATAGAGGTGTGCTGAAGTACTCCTAGAAGATGATGGGGCAAGACAGTTACACATTCTACCATGCATCAAATAAATGATATGCACTGCGACATAATAGTTTATATAATAAATACTATCCTTGTTGCACTTCTTACCGAAATGTTGTTCATATGACAAAGAACTTCAATAAATGAAGCTTTTGCTATCTTAAAAGGACTGGTGTGCTGGTAAAATTTCTATAATTCTGGTAATAGTTTATATGACATGCGATGCACCAAAATAAGATGCCATGTGTGGCAATTCAAATTCCTCAACAACTGCCAATCTTAGTTTACCTGGCCCAAGAGGTTTGAAGTCTTAGGCTGGCTTTACACCTTCATGTTCCAATAACGCACACATTAGTACAATGCACAAAAAGGGATAATAGACATATTAGTGCATTGCACATGAATGCACCCCCAATCAAGCAAACACAGTACTGTGCATTGCTGTATAGTGTGTTCCCAAAAAAGGATAAGGTGCAGTTTTGGGAATGGTAAGGTGCCTAAAGGCAGACCATTCATTTTGGCTATTCATACCATTCATCATGGGCCACCTTGGCCCAATGTGCACTGACACGCAAAATAACATGCGTGCATCAAACCGGTCTTACAGGTGTGAAGCTCATCTTACTGTTGAAGTATTCAGCAGAGCCTGTTGCTCTCTGTGTGGAAGCAGAAGTCTCTATATAGAGGTGTGACAAGTTGGTGTCAGACCTATAGCACTGCAATTAGCAAAGGCTCTAATCAGCAGGAAGCATGAGTTTTGCTGATTGCAGAGCTTTAGTTCTGACTCAGCAGAGGATGTGTCTCCACAATGTAATGGAGCTATTATCCCTGACTGCCAATGTGACAGAGTGTTTCTCACTGGCTGCCAATGTAACGGAGGTATTCTCACTGACCACCAATGTAACAGAGGTATTCTCACTGACCACCAATGTAACTAAAGTATTGTCAGTGACCACCAATGTAACGGAGATATTCTCACTGGCCACCAATGTAACGGAGATATTCTCACTGGCCACCAATGTAACAGCGTTATTCTCACTGATTGCATATGTAATGGAAGTATTCTGACTGACGCCAACATAACGGAGGGATATAATGCTCTGAGCTCAGAGGAAGTGAATTGAATGATGCTGGTACAGGGCCAACACTGGACCATGGAGAAGGATGCACAGGGTAGCCCTGGAGTGTGTAGAGGATGAATAGTGCTTTGAATAATGCTAAGAAAAAATTATAGAAGCTGGAGATAGATATTAAAGTTGTAATAGTAAATGTACATGGACATGCTAACAGCTCTGTCATAACATGTATAAATTACTCCAAATGTTCAATGCCCTTAAAGTCAATGGCAAGGTTAGATTTGATAATAGTAAAATGTCATGTAGAATTACACTGCATACATCTGCTGTCACTTTGCAATATAATATTTTTTGACTACCTTCCTCAGATGTCTATTCTAGAGTTGACACAACTGCTTTCTTTCCGTTATGGTAGCCTAGACTGTGGGCAGGATGAAGCCAAGCACCTCTTCCGGTGAAGTAGCAATCTTGTCCTGGACTTCATATCCCAGTTCCCCATGGGGCATTTCTCACTGTTGCAGGAGAAGCTCATCTGGAGCTTGTCATTTTGGTACCCATTTTTGGAAAGCATGGAAAGCAGAGGTGAAACTTTCAGTGACTGATAGGCTGTGGGCATTACATGGCGCTTCCCTTAGGACCACAACACAGGGGATGGGGGAAACCTCAGCGTGTCTGGGTATACTTGTAATCCATAAAATAAATGTTATTGTTTTTTGGTTTATTTATAGAGAGGATATATGTATGAAAAATGATAGAAGTTGGGGATGGACATTCTTGTTCAATATTTTTATTGAATGGCACAAAGCATAACATGTACACAATGGGACAACATGAATAACAAATGGAGTTACAAGGAAGCAAATTGCATATACAACAGTGAAGGCACCATCTAGTCCGATTAAGCCTTCATAACGGGACATTTATTTAATAGTACATGTGCATGGGCATGCCAGCAGCTCTGGGTAGGTGTTGGTGAGTATAGAAACCTTTTTTTTTTTTAAATCAAGCATGGGCTTAGAGGACATTGAAAAAAATCTGCTTTCAACAGAACATAATGTTGTTGATAGGATATTGCAGAGGACCTAAGCAGAAGCTGCATTTCCATAAATATCTGAACCATGTGTTACAGTGTAAGTCTAGACATCTGGTGCAAGTCAATGCAATAAAGATAAAAAATTATACTTTGAAAGGAATGTACTCTGCATTCTTTATTTAAGCTTTACAATTCTGGTTCTCCCTATTTTAGAGAATAGTTATGCCCTTGAAAATGATTGCACTATTTCATGACTCTTTATACTTATATCTAGGGATGCACCGATACTTTTCGAGTACCAGTGCAGATACTTGGCATTTTCATGAGAACTACCAGGGTTGCAGCGGTTGCAGCTGGGACCTGGCTCTGGCGCTCCACCACTGTCCTGAAATCATAAGTCTGTATTGTTGTAGAAAAACTGTCACATGACAATAACCAAAAATGTATCAGTACTCGTACTTGTAAGTACTCGGCAAGTACCAGTACTCGTACTCGAAAAACAGGTATCTGTGCATCCCTTTATTTATATTTATAAAAACAAAATCATACATTAAAACAGAGATGTACAAATCTCGGGAGCTCCGTGTGCTCCTTACAAATGACAGCTGCCTCCTAATTTTTGAATTTTTCTCTAGTGTAGTCTTGGAGCTCAAAAGTATCGGTACATGTACTCGTACTTGTACCGAGTACTGTACTTGGTATCTGTGCAACCCTACTTATATCTAAAACACGCAGACATAATGCAGATAATACTACAGAAGGGGTATGAAGCTTGAAGCAACATTCCTGAAATATATTAAAGTAACTCTGCCACTGAAGTCTCACTTGGGAATTTCAAACAATCATCGCATCTTTGTTTTCAAACCCTTCAAACTGAATTTTTATTTGGTGCATCCATAAACGTAGGTTTCCATTCCCCAAATATTTGGAGCACTGACAATAGTTTATCTGGCCTTTTTTTTGGCTGCACCTGGAATGTATTTAAAATTTCCACATTAATTTAAACCGACTGATTTAAAATAGTGTTTAAGCATTCTTTACGAGTATTCATTACAGTATAATCTAGTTAATAGTCACATAGCCAAACCTTGTAATTTGATTATCTCTCTTTTTAGACCCTTTCAATACACTTTTTTTAGGTCTCCAGTTTCAGGGGATTGCCATGTCATTTCTGTTTGTATGCCACCTTGATTTGAAAGCGATGGCAATTTTAGGAAAATAAAAATAATTGGAAGCATCTGATCCGAGGCTCTGATTACTAAATGTAATTTTCAACAAAATTACTGCAATTTCCAGTTTATATACAGTATATATTTTCAAAAATGTAAAGTCTCATCCTACAGCTGAAGTGCATAGATAATTCCCACTCAGTTGCTGCTTGATAGGCAGCATAGATATCCTAGAATATAACAGACAGGAACTGAGCATCTCCAGAGCCATATGAATTTATTATTCATATACAAGATTCCAGGGTAAAAGAGAGACAGCTCATTTCCAACAGCCATTTCACATGAATTCATAAGCTTTGTCAAGCTTTTTAATGCTGTTATCTGTCCTGCCCAATCCATTTATATAAACTCTGGGGGTTTGTCCAACGTGAAAAACTTTAACCAATTTAGTTGCGCTGGAAAAAATATGTGAAATCACCAGCTGCAACACTGTGTATAACCACAGTAAGATGATACAGTAAAGAATATTGCTCACTACCAAGCGCAACATAATTGCTCACATTGATCACGGTTTGTCCAACGTGGCACTACCTCAGCTCATCACAATCTGCCAGTCCATGCATCTCAACTAATAATAACAAATGCATAGCATTTATTTATTTATTACAGGTATGCAGGAAGTAAGTTCCTTGAGAGCAGAGACCAATTTGAATGTTCAATATTTAAAGCTCTGTGTAAATTGACATTGCTATATAAATATCTGATTCTGTAATAATAAATAAAGAACATTCTGCCAACCCATCATATTGCCAGGGTTATTGTAGCAACCAATCCTCAATATGTACATGCAAAAGACTTCTATTTGAATTAATAACCCTTATCTAAATTCCTCCTTAGACATTACAACTTATTAAAAACAATTCCAGTTTTAACTATTACTGTACTTTAAATTCATTGCACAGCTTATTTAAAAACAAAAAAGGGTGTGTACTGTAAGTTTAACCATTGATTTGACCATTATGAACTATTTACTTAGTTAAAGCATTAGGTCAGTGCTCCTCCCTGTTTTTTTCTTCTTGTTTCTATATACACTGGTGGCCCAACGAAGTAATCTCATGGAGTCATCTCGTGGCCCAACAAAGTACTGATGGGGTGGTCATAATAATCTGGCCACTCAGTGTATAGTATATAGACCATCCTTGTCTACATTACATGGTGCTGCAGGACCTAAAAGTGGATTTTTACAGTATTACTTTGGCATGTTTGAGTTTCTATAAACTTTAGTGGCTGACATTTCTGGACCCTGAGTAAAACATGATTTTTATTTATCCTTTTGATTGTCATTGCACAAACTAATGCTAAATATAAATATGCAAAATAAATCCTATCATAGCTCCTGGTCCTCATCGAAACTCCTTCTTACACCTTACACACCCTAATAAAGCCCAATTCCAGTATCAAATTTTACTGTACTTTTCACATTCATTGTCCAGCATATTTAAACACAAAAAGGTGAGTCATAAAGGTGCCATGAGCTTACATGATAATGCTGTGGTGCATTTTCCTCAGCACTTAGAACCTGCCCACCACCCAGCACAGTCAGACGCTGTGGCATCACATGATCGTGAAAGTTGGTGGGGGATTTTGTGACATATAACAGATTATTAATCAAAATACATGGCCTCCATAATTACAGAAGAACTATTAATCCCCTAAAAACAGAAAAAAATAATTGCCATTGCTTAATCCTCCATGGCCTGTTTCTGCCAAACATGGACAATTAAACTACAGGAACCCTTTCCTGAAGTTAGGAATGTCCCTGTCTTTCATTGGTCTAATAGCTACTGTATATAAATGGGATTTGAGCATCTGCTGCTACATCCAGTTATAGGAGAGTATATTGATGTCAGCAGGCAAACACTTAACACGTTTCACAAAGGAGTGCTTCCTTATAAGGGTCAGTATAACACCGGGTCACCATTTCCTTCCTGGACTGAAATGATGGCTCAGAGATGACATAGCGAAACCTGGAATTTGTTTTCCGGAATGGGTCGCAGTATCTTTGTCATGGCCTGCTGGATGTCCAGAATGTTATCAAATTTGTGTCCTTTTAAGGCATTTTTTAATTTTGGAAACATCCAAAAGTCGGAGTGTGGTAAGTCAGGGGAATAAAGGGTTTGACCAAGTTTCCTGTCACTCATTTTCCACCTACAGGGAAGGCGGGGCCCGGCGGTAGAGAAGGCTGATGGCAGATCGCGGCTGACAGGTAAGAGGTGTGCAGGGGTGTGACCAGCCCACCTGAGACCCTGCAAAGCCCACCATAGAGTCTATGGTGGGCTCTGCAGGGTCACTCTCAGGTGGCCTGTGTGGTATCTCAGATGGGCTCTGCAAGGGGCTTAACTAGAAATCACAGGGCCCCATGCAAAAGTTTGCTATGGGGCCCTGTGATTTCTAGTTACGCCCCTGCTCTTACTATTTCTTCACCCCTCATTATGAATATGCTGTCTTTGGTAACGTGGTTTACCTAGGATCTAGGGTTCTTCATGGGGCTGGGGTGAAAACTCAGATACCTTACAATGTATCTAAAAATGTGTTCTTCAAACAAGTGTTAGCATTGTTACACTAATTATTTTTCTTTTTCTTTTCTTAGTCTTGAAGAATTTTTTTACCCAAGAGAGAAAACAAGTATGCTTTGACACCCATGAAGGCAAAGAATGCATTGCACCTTTATTTCAGACTGTACAAGAGACTCCACAGCCCATCCTAACCAAAATTAGTGGCAAAATCCCCAAATGGATCCAGGGCAGTCTGCTGCGAAATGGGCCAGGCAAATTTGAATTTGGAGACTACAAGTGAGATTAGTATTGTTTTAATTCTGTTTCTAAAGCTTGGTTTAGAATATATAATATCATGCTGATAGTTTATATTAATATTGCAGACGTGTACAAAGTGCAGTCATAGTGGGCAAAGTGAAACAAACAGCAGTCAGTTGAATTTTATGTTACTGAACTCAGATCACTGAAAAATGCAATATTTCATTCATTATTGAACATTGCATGTTGCTATTATCCTTTCACTGAAGAACCTATATACCCAAATGTTACAGTGCTATTTTAAAGCCACACAAATGACGCACCGCACTACATGTGTGTTATTTGCGGAAGGCCCCTGCAAATCCTACCTTGCAGCATGCCATCTTTTGCACATAATGCCAGGCTTCTGGGCACTGAGGGGAGTGAGTGTTGAGACTCAAGCAGAGAACTACTCCAGTCACATCACCCACTCCTCCCACTATTGCCCGTTCATGAATTGCCTTGTATTGTTTCAAAGATTACAAGACATTTTGTGATTGGAGGAGGAGAGATGTCCCCTCTACTCCTTCTAGACAAATTTACCTTTACTTCCTGTACTACTGACAGCAGCTTCTCCAGACAAGAAGTAAGGGGAAATTTGCAACTGGGACACAGACAAATAAAAAAATAAAAAAACTAACAGGGGATCTAGCTCTCTCTTGCTGTGTTTAAAGAAGATATGTGATCGCTCAGTTCTTGATCTCTAGAGTCGACGGGTGACAGCTGCAGTGCCACACGTTGGCTCTAATTATGGGATGAGTATATTTCACTCTTATTATAATTCTGCTTTAAATCACCAAGTTATTTGCTGACTTTGCTTGCAGAGGGCACAAGCGCTGTCCTGTGTCCTCTCTTGCAGATTTTTATATCTGATTTGTCTGCAGCCTGGTCGGCTTTCAAGTAATGGGCCACAGATGCTCTGTCTGATTCTGAGTCACTCCAGTCCTAGACTGATGAGCTCACCCTTAAGGAGCTACAGTCTTCTGCTATTACAGTATTTACAATTACTAAGACTACAATTACTAATACTAATTAATGCCGTTAGCTCCGCTCTGAAACTAGATCAGCCTGTTGCTTCTACCAGCACTGTTTCCAGTCTCAGGTCATTCAAAACTCCTCAGGCCATAAATAATATCCCTTTGCACTTGCTTTTCCAAGTATTTCTCTATGGAGAATGTTTGCTCCCCCTAAACACTTATTAACCTTGTATTGATTTGGTGAGGATTTTGTGCAGAAGTAGTCTATTCCCACTGTAGGTCCACCAGTGTCCTGATTTAACAAAATGCCTACTATTCCAGTAGAGAGGATGTGGCTTTCTTTTTGGATCCCACCCATGAGTAGTAGGAAGCCCTTTCTAGAGTTCTGTTCTTGCTGGAGCACCCTTCCCTTCTGGATCTTGATTCTGGCTGTAATTCTACTCTGTCAAACCATGTCTGAATGGGCATAATCAATTAAAAGATATCTAAACACTACTAAGGTTGATCCCCCCTTTAGGCTCCATTCACATATAGCGGTAGCATTTTTTTCCGTGTGGTTTTTTGACTATTTCGCAGGACGCCCAGCTTTGTGCTGTGCTGCCTCCGCAATAATCTAAACAATGCAATGCACATTGCAATGCATTGTTTTTTGTAACCGCTCATGTGTGACTGGAGCCCTATAGAACACATGGAGAAGGGTACAGGTGGCTATAGGGTTAAACTTCAGCTGTGATGGTTTGCTGGAAGCTTCCCATCTCATTTCTTGCATGTGTTTCATGTTAGTACATATGCATAGGGCACTTTGGCTAAAGTATTTGATCTACATGGCCTTCAAATGACAGTCTTATCAAACCAACTCTTGACAACTCCATCGAGGATGCTACTTGTAGCAAGAGGTTCCTCAGCACAAAAAGCTGAAGGAACAGACTGCAAAGGTTTCTCTCTCTCTAACTGTTTAGAAATGTCCCCTTTGTTTCTCCACCGCCAGATTGAGAACCCCCAAAGCTTGGCTCCCTGACCACCCACAAGTCTTGGCACTCAATGTCTACTTAGTCCTTAGACAAACCTTTGCATCAAGGTGCACTCCCGCTTTCCAGAGTGGTCAGATGTTTATGAACCTTTGCAGATGCTTGGGCAGCTTGCATCTCAGACACTTAGGTGCAGGAGATAGTATCTTAGGGATATAAGCTGCAGTTTCAGTTCTTGCCCCCTCTACTGTTACTCATCTTCAACGTTCCTGTGTCACCACACAAATTAGCAGATCTCCACTGAGGCCTCTTGAATCTTTTAGATCAGTGTGTCATTGCCACTGTTCCAGTGGCATAATGGTTCCAGTCCAGAGGTTTTATTCTAATTTGTTTACTGTCCCAGAACCATAGGAGCATTTGCCCCATTCTGGATCTAAAAGCTCTGAATATCTTCATTTGGGTCCAAACAATTCTGCATGGAATCTACCAAATCTGTCACCGCCTTTCTTCATCGATCTTTCTGGCTTCTGTAAACATCAAAGCTGTTTACCTACATGTCCCCATCTTTCCAGCGCATTATTCATATTCACCAAGGTGACCCTGTCCTGTGCAGAACTTCATGTTTCAGCCTGTCTAATAAAACATTGTCAGCAGGACAGAAATTGAGAATAATTCTCTCAAATGAGGTCCTAGATAGCAATAAAATCTAACATGGGTTTTGGCTGGACATATACTTTAATGTATAAAAGATGCAAACTTTTCAAACATTTTAGTTTTCTTCGTCAGCGATTATACAATTCTGGGTCTAAAAGCCACATTATAGATCTAGTATTATATAATGCCTGATAAAGCAGCCTAGGAGTTTTGAAAGCCTAGTGTATCTAAAGATTTTTTTCAACTCCTGGAATTTAAAAAAAACCAAAAACAATTGCATGTATTATGCAACAAAAAAAACATTCATTAAAACTAAAGTTTATATATGAAAACATACACTCACCTTTTTAGCTATATTCCCTGTGACATTTACATATCAGAATCCAAGAGACTACAGCAAGCACACCATACTATGGAATACAGCAAATAGCAGAAAACATTCTGTTTGGATGCATTCATTTCCAGCTATCCCATGTTCTGTTTAAAATAAAATATATCTGAAAATATGCATGCTCTTTGCTTCTGTTACAGTAATCCTTTTTAGCGTGCATCCTCTGGCCATCAGTTTGTTGGTGGAGTGGATTCCCAAGGTTACAGCACAACTAAATTCTAAAAGTAAACAATACACGGTTCTATAAGTTACCCCAAAAAAGCTAAAAGAGCAAACCATAAGGATTGGTCCATATATGAATTACAATTTTTGGTAATAAAAGGATCAAACATCTGTGTTATCAAAACAACTATAACATAAAACTTGTCTATTTTGTATAACCCCAAACAAGGGGGGATTGTCTATAACCCCCGAAATGTGTTGGCTGTCGATATTTGATTCACTTATGTGCCGTGTTTAAAATGACACTAACATTATGTTTCTGGTACACAGAATGGCAAAGTTATTTGCAAATGACATTTTTTGTGTGTGTTTGTGTTTTCTTTTAATGCGACACTGCAAAAAAAAGGGGAGGAAAGAGTTAATCAGGGATGATTAGGGTTAACTAGTGGTAAAATAGAAAAACCTTTTATTCATATAAATGAAATAGTAAATACAGTGAAACAATACACTGTTACACTGTATTTACTCAACAACACTTGCAGACTTGCCTTATGCCCTATTGCTTTAGTTCACACCAAAAAGCTGCGCTGCTGCACATTGAAGAAAGGTAGAATATGTTGCACAGTGTGTTCTGACAACACGCTGATCTGCATAAAGTTGGATGAAGCATCAAGATTAATAAGGCACCTTAAAGCATGCATGCAGGTGTGTACATGGTTGTTGTTTTAAAAAGTTATGTTCGTTAAGTCTTATTTTAATGCTGCGAAATAACATGTATTCTTAGGTGTGTTTTATAACTATGCACTTCATAAATCAACACAATTATAGAAAACATTATGCAGCCATACATATGTGGGTTGTATGTTTAGATCTGGAAGCACTAATACACCTGTACTGAAAACCACTTTGTGCTTTACAGTTTAGAAGAAACCTTTAAGCTGGCCCTCATCTTAAAGGTAGAGAAACCCAACCCAGTTCAGGCAGCCAGATCTTAAATTGGCCATGCATGGGGAATTTGTATGATGTCAAACCTCCAGGTGATGTGGGAGCTGAAGAAAAGGTGGAACAATGACTGTTTTCATCACCAAATATTTTCATTATGTAATTGGATATCCCACCAAAAGGATTTCCAGGAGGATTAATGATCAAGTTGTGGATTTATGTTCTACTTTTATAAAAGCAGTTTCATTTGTTATCAAATGACATTGGCTGCAAACTGGCCCATGTATGGATCTATTAAGTATATTTCATTTTTGTTAAGAGCCAAACAGGTTTTGCAAGTCAGTATAACATCATACCAGGGGAATCATTTCCATAGGTAAAGCTGAACTCTGGGCAGGTATAAAAGACACAAAAAAAAAAAATCAGCTTTGTATTCATTAAAGGAGTTCTAAAGTCCCAGCATATCCTATCCTATCATGACATGAGCATTGTAATAGGAATACATACTAGAGTTGTTTTTGATAATACAATCAAAGCTTACTTGAAAGAAATCCCTTTTATGTAGTGAGTGCTGGCTTCCGCCTGCCCATCACTTTCAACAACTTCCTGGATTTCCATTGTGCTTTACATCTCTTTCCCTGCTGCTTGATGTGATCTCAATTTCTCAAGACGTTAGATGTTACATTGTTCAAACATTGAGTTGTAGTTCAGATGGCAGGCTTAGTTAGTGTGGTGACACATGGAAGTGCATATTCACAGGGCTGAGTAAAATTGTGTCACTGCATTGAGCAAGTGCACCTATGGACATCTTCAATAAGTAAGTTTACAAACCTCTATATCGATATGGTTATTAACTGTGAGATAGCCTCATGCAAATCCAATATAGAAATACAGATTTATTCTTAGCTTTTGACCATTGATACCCTTTAATACATCAGCACTCAGATTAGGAGAGGAAGGAGCAGGACTGAGCAGGGATATGGACTCATCAGTCTGCTGCTGCATTTCCACTGTCCAGTGTTCACTTTTCACCCAGAATGCTGGGTGTGGAAATATACCAATGTATTATTTCAATATAAGTGGTGTCTTCAACCTGGCTGTACTAAGAGGAGGAAAAAGCTGTATAAATCTCAAGCCTGGACTGACAGAAATACAAATCTTCTTGCAGTTAAAGCAGATTCTTTATACTGTATTTATCCCTTTTCGATTTGCCTTTAGCTGTTGGCCTGGAGTTCAGTTTAAAGGTGGCCATACACTGTACAACCATCGCAAGACCTTAGTCTTGCGATGGTTGTAAAGTGATTAAAAAAACATACGATCTGCCCATCTTGGACAGGCAGATCGCACTCTCGATCATCGCAAGCCCGCCCCCCTGAGGGGCGGGCTTCCGATGACCGCAATGCTGAACGGGCAGTGTGCGCGTGCGCACACCGGCCCGTTCGGCATTTGTCTCCCGAGCACTGTTCAAACCAGCCGAAAATCGTACGATTTTCGGCTGGTTTTCTAGCGTGCTCCTTAGACAAAAGACGTGCGACCGTACAGTAGAAACGGTCGCACGTCTTCGTTTACACTGCTCGATTCTCGTACGATCGTGGGATTTCCCGTGATTCTCGTACGAGAATCGAGCAGTGTATGGGCACCTTTAAGCTGGCCATGCAAACAAAGAATGTGCCACTCCTTAGTCTTAGAAATAGATCTGGCTATTATTTTATACTTCATGAATAATGCAGTCACATGATCCAGTAACTACTCACACAGGTGCTGCCTGTACAGTCCCCAAGATGATAAAGCTTAGCGTTTAATCCCTAGAGCAGGGCACTCTATATTTAAAAACATAAAATGGTTGTCAGTCTCTTTCTTGCTTGGTATTACCTGCACTATGCCAGGTACTCTATCTGCCTGCATCATGTTACAGACTCCTCCAAGGATGGCAAAAAAAGATTATGGTTGTTTATTGTCAGAAAATGGGATGTTAAACTTAATACAGAGACAAAAAGCTGGTATAATTCAATAATAAAATAGCACAAAGCTGTTGAGTTATCCATTAAGAAACTCATTTGCTACTGTTAAGCTGGCCATACATGGACACATTTCAGCTAATTCCTGTGAATCTTGTGAAAATTCGAACCATAGCTGACCCTCTCTTCCAGCTCAACAAACTTTGATTGAAAAACTGAAGGAGCTGGGAGGGAAGTTGTCGATCTAACATTGGCTGCAGCCAATCAACTGTAGTTACTGGCCTAGTATTTAAGCAGCTGCGCTCCCACAGCTGCTTGAATACAATAGGCAGCAAAAAAAGGTCCTCCATACATGCTGTTTAGTTTTCAGTCTAAATAACAAGTAGCTAAATGTGTATTGTTGCATTGAAGATTCAATAAAATTGAACTGCAGCTATTTTTCCTCTAATTTTGAATATAATAAGGAAGGTTAGAACGTCCTTCAGGCTTTTTGTTCTGTGTCCCCTGTAGATATTTACTGTGATTATTTGCGCTAGCGATCATTGTTGGGGGGAACGCGAGAGGAAATCCAAATGCTACATTTGTCAATTAAAAAGTAGTAGAGGAGATGTCTTACCTGTTCTGGTCACAAGTTAGGGTGCCCATACACTGTGAACATTTCTGGGAGTTTTTGAGGAAGTGTGTGCCGATGTCGGCACCCTTTTGGTCGGCATCCTTTGATCAGCTGATCGAAGGAGCTGGCCAAAAAATCTTCGTACGGTCAGAGCCGGCAGCCAATGAGCCAATGGCTCTGTTCAGCTATTCTGACAGCGGCTGCTCGCAGAATACAATGCAAACAGCGGGATTCCTCAATTGACACACTAAGCGTTGAGCTCTAAGCTCTATTTTTCTCATTCAGCCCGCGGGTTGAACGAGAAAACTAGAGTAGTGTATGGCCAGCCTAACAAAGGTGGGATTTCTCCTTACTTTGTGGAGATTTTATTTCAGTTCCTGCTGTGTCTCTGGGACAAGAAGCGAGGAAAGGTCACCCCAATAGGGACACAAAAATCAGTGAGAGGTTTCAACCCTCACTCTCTACATATCTAGATAAATAATTTGGATTAAGTTCCGCCTTAAAGATGAACTCCAGCTATAAACATTTATGTGTCCTGCTTGGCCCAATATACTGTAAATATGCATATGATATGCCTGTTTGGCCCACGTTGATCCTGTAAAGCAAAGTAATAGCCGCAGCTACTACAGTGCTTTACAGAGATCTTTCAGGTCCTAAATGGAAACACGGGGGGTCGATTGCTCAGCACAGCAGCCATTTAGATAACTCCTAGTACTTTTATCAATGCATACAAGGCATTCTCTGATTGGACGCAGGGTGGATCGTGTCATCACCGAGACCTTCTTGTAAGCATTGATTAAAAAAAAACTACTACTGTTCTCTGAATGGCTGTTGTGAGTGACCCCTTGTGTTTTTACAGAAGAGGGGAAGCTGCTCAGCACAGTTCAATACAGGACTCAGACGATCACTATAGACACTGTAGTAGCTCCAGCTACTACAGTGCTTAATAGGATCCGACCAGGCATATCTTATACATACTTACATTGGACCAAGCTGGACCAATCTTATACATACTTACATTGGACCAATCTTGTACATACTTACATTGGACCAAGCTGGACCAATCTTACATACATACTTACATTGGACCAATCTTGTACATACTTACATAGGACCAAGCTGGACCAATCTTATACATACTTACATTGGACCAAGCTGGACCAATGTAAGTAGGCATAATACTTTAAGTATTAAGCTTTTTATAAAATTCAGATAAAAGAGATTACACTACTCTTGGGATCGGTTGCTGGGCTGATTTCACTAAAAACGTAGGTAACAGTGTTTATGAATACAAATAAAAAAGGTATTGTGTGTTTTAGTTATTTAATTTTTTAAAAGTTTGCATATATTCCTAATGCTTTAAATGTAAACCCTTTTTTATCAGTTTTAACCACTGGTTCGATGGCATGGCCCTCATGCACAAATTTACAATTATAGACGGAAATGTAACTTACATGAGCAAGTTTCTCCAAAGCAACGCTTACAAGTCCAATCAAAGTGAGAATAGGATTGTAGTGTCTGAATTCGGAACTTTGGCTACACCGGACCCCTGTAAGAGTTTGTTTCAGCGCTTCATATCAACGTTTGAGATGCCAGGTAAGTGAGATTCATATTTTATGCAAACAATTCAAGGCAGTTGCTAATGATATAAAGTGTTTTAGAAAACTAAATGTAACAAAGGTAAGGTTTACAACTACTCTGTCCCCTTCTTGGCCACAATCTGTGAATTAGCATTTCCCAGCACAATGCCCCATGCTGAAGATTTGTAAATCTACATCATCCCTTTAACAGCTACCAGCTGACACTGTGTGCAGCTGCTAGCTGTTGCACCTGGCTATCACTGACAGTTTTGGTCCAATCAGAGAAGGCCCTGATCATGAGATCTCTGTGTCAGCAATGATATAGTGATCACGCAAGTTAAAGGCTTTATTCAGGGGGAAAAAGGGTTCAGCCTGCAGAGGCCACTGAACCCTGAAGATGACATTGATATAATTATAGTATTAAATATATATGAACTAAAAAAATATATGTCTGAACTTGTGTACATATATAATTACAGACTATGCATGGAAACAAAGGGGTCTATTCATTAAAGGGGTTCTAAACCCTCCGTTTTTTTTTCCTATATCTACTGCTAGCAAGCAGTAGATATAGGCAAGAAGTTTAAAAAAAAAAAAACAAACCGCTTGAACTGGTTTTAAACTTACCTCGTTATTGCTGCTCGCTCCCGCGCCGAGAATCAGGAAGTGACCGTACGGCCGCAAAGGATCTTGGGGCGGGCGCATGCGCAGTTCCGATTCTCGGCCGGGAGACGAGCAGAGACGCAAGGTAAGTCTATGGACGCGTGCACCCGCCTGCAGACACCGCTGGATCGGAGAGACAGAGCAGTCAGCGCTGGATCGGAGTGTTGTCCCACCGCTGGAGGGACACATGAAAACATGGGGAAAGAAGAGGAAGATCAGAATAAGAGACATCATTTGAGGTAAGTGCTAACATTTACATGGGGGGGAGGGGAAAAAAATGTGGCTTTAATGTCACTTTAAGCTTCCGTAGGCAGCCGAGTGATTAACCGACCCGAAGCGAAGTGAGCTGAACGCTGTTCGGCTATTCACTTCAGGCTGGTATGGCTGATTCCAGCCGTATATCGACTGAAATCAGCCGTACATCGGGTGGCTTCGGCTGGCTTCGGGTCGACCGAAATGCTCAGCATGTTCGGCCGACCCGAAGTGCAGAAGGAGTTCGACTCAGCCGATCCAACATCTGGATCGGCTAAGCCGAACCTCCGGCAGGCTACTTGCTGCTGTTCGGCCTATTCTCATAGATGCCGAACAGCAGTGAGTGAATAGCTGAATGCCGCCGAGCGCTATTCGGCTCGGCACCTCTATAGTGAATAGCCCGTACAGCAGCCCTTCGGTTCTTCTGAACCAAAGGGGTCCTGGGGCCGAAGCTAGCCGAGGGATCAGCTGAAGCTATGGCTAGATCCTTCGGCAGCTTAGTGAATAGACCACAAAGTCTTGAATCCATCGTGTGCATTAGGCTAATTTCCTATATATCTATATTTCTTGTATATCTAAGATAGTACACTGAAAAAGACTGCAGATTCACATCAACATTGGCGTATATATTTAGTATTTTTCATTTCCATCTTTAGAACCAACTGACAATGGGAATGTAAACTTTGTAAAATACAAAAAGGATTATTGTGTCAGCACAGAGACAAACATCATGCGTAAAGTGGATCCAGAAACACTGCAGACAAAAGAAGAGGTGATTTGGTTTGTTTGTTTATGTCTACAGTATTTGTTCAACATCACACAGAATAGTATGGGATTTTCACATTTAGGTGAATATTTGCAAAACTTTTTAGGTCTAATAAATGCACATTAGGGCAAAAACAAACAAATTACAAAGCTGTTTACTTCCACTTTAAGGGAACAACAGCTGTAAGTCAACCGGCCATTTGTCACCAGTAATATCAACAGTTTTAAAATAAATGGTGTGTATGACATCACTGGGACTTGGCCATTCTGCATTCCAGAGAGGCAGATGGCAAGTCACTATGTACCCTATACGTAGAAGTACTGAGATTTTTATTGAGCACTGGTGGAGATTGAGGCAAAGGAAGAATGATGGTTTGCTCTAACAAAAACCTCCACTGAAAGCAAAATGTGCACTACATTGCTATTCCTGCTGAAAATTGCCTATTTACTGGCCAGCTCTGGCTGCACTAGTTTCCATGTCACTGACCTGGAGCAGGAATAAGAAGACTAAGAAGAAGAGTAATTTCTGAACACCTGATCTGCCTACTTGTTCTGTTGTAATTATTTAGAAAGCACTGAACCCATGGGTCAGAATTAACAGCCAGGCCACTAGCATTCTGATAAGGAGAGTACACAAATAGACCAATGCAGGTTCAAAAGAAATGTGATATTTTATGCACTGTCCATGGTGCTGAAGGCATTAGACAGACTACATTTGTTTTCTATTTTTCACCATATGACAAATTAATCTGGCACCAGGCTTCCAAGTATCATCATATGAGAGAGAAAAAAACAAATGATATATAGCACACCCAGCTAATGCATTGATCACGGAAAAAAAGAGTGAGGGGCGAAGAGACTGCAACCCCCACCAGACACTTCGTGCATAATTGTTGAATGACTAGAAGGTAGAGTTCTATATTATTATTATTATACAAGATTTATATAGCGGCAAGCGGTTTGCGCAGCGCTTTACAATATAAGGAAGACATTACAATACAATTCAAGACAAGATGGTAAGGAGGGCCCTGCCTGTGAGGGTGTAATATACTCACCTAGTCTCTTCTGACACCAGTGTGAAACCCCGCCTTAACCAATCATGTTCCACTACATCATCCTCTCTCTTCCTTCTTAAGCCGGGAGATTCAAACAACCGTTGTCTGTGTAATGTGTAGACGCCGGCTCCCTGACACTGCAGCAGCTCCTCTTATCTCCAGCAGACTGAATCCTCTTGGATGAATTGCGCCTCTCCTCAGCAATTCATCTTGCATTTACTTCCTCTGCTACATGAACTTATACCTATTCCATCTGCTGCTGCTGTCTGAGGTGTGCACTCATCATTCATCACTACTGCTGACACCTGTGTGCACTCACCATTCTGCAAGTTGGCTGCTGACTTCAGTGAGCACTCTTCAATCCTGTTGCTATTCCCTGAGTGCATATCCCATGGACACAGCTTGACCAACCATGTCTGCAGGGACTAACATTCCCACATCAAACCTTCATGGCTCCACTGAGGAATCTCCTAATCGCAAGTACCACCAAACCTATTATACAACTGTATGATGTAATACAGGGCAGAGATGATCGAGAAGTGAGTGAACGACGGTATGCGTTCGCTCATTTCCCGATCTATTGAGCCGACGCGTGACAGTTTCATTTAAAAAGACTGCAGTGAATAGAAGTTTATGTAAACTTCTGTTACAAATATTACTCTTTATTTAAAATAAGTACAAACATGGGGTCACCTAGAAATATCAACAATTTTAAAAGTTTTTGGTGTTTGTAGGATAGATTTTTATATAGTAATACAGTTTATGTGCTTGTTTTCAAATAAATAATTATATTTTTAGCAGTTCACATGAACATTTACTCACTGCAGTGTTTTTGGCTTAGTGTGTTTGTCTTTCTATGCATGACAGCTGACATTATAGATGTAAAGCTCTGTGCAAACTCTTGGCGCTATATACATCCTGTATAATAATAATAATTATTATTATTTCCTCATCGCATTATAGTTTGTTGAAAGTTCACAGATAATATTTTTTATACTTTATTTTTCTCTCTATGAAATCTGTGGTATACTCATATTTGACCTTGCCAGTAGTAGCTACTCATCACAGGCCCTGTGCAGTGGGCACAGTACAGAGGACCACCAATCCATTCTGGAAATTACTTTCTTTTGACAACTGAACCTCATGAAAATATATCTTTTGTTCAGCCTAAAAGTGTAACTATAAACCTTTATTTCAGGTTAACTGGACAAAACATATTGCTGTGAATGGAGCAACAGCTCATCCTCACTACGATCCATGTGGTACAACATATAATATGGGTAATTCCTATGGAAAACATGGTAAGGAAAAAAACTACTTTTAGTTCACATGCATAATCAAAACAACTTAAACCTTTCCCATTTGCACAATACCCCTTTATATGGATAAAAACAGATGTCCTCCCATTGAGAGCCAATTTGCATGGCTGGTGGCTCTGAATCCTGACTGAATGACAACGCCTGTCCCGACTGACAATCGAGGAAATAGTCAGAGAGGTTCCTGATCATGTGATCAGTATGACAGTAATAAGATTCTTTGACAAGATAAGCCTTCAGCCTGAAGACAAACACTGCCACCTTCAGGCTACAGTGGGATCTACAGTGTTAGCCCTTGCATAAAGTAATTGTCAAGTACAATAACATTACTGAAAAAAAACCTGTAATTTAAAAAAAACAGCAGAGTTTTTATTTTTTGTCAAATTTGAATTTTTTTATGGCTAACAGGGTACAACACTCTGCTGCTATATCTTTAGAAAATATTATAAACATTAAGGAAAATTAGTTGTACAGTAGCTGTCAAGTTAACCACCGCATGCTGACACCGCAAAATTTGACCTGGGCATCTAGGCATGTCCTCTGGATTAAAAACATGTCAAATTTAAAATGAACTTGAAACTCATAGCTCTATATTTTTAATTCAATTTGATGAAATGCAGTTTTCGACTAATGAATTTCAGAGTTCTCAGTTTTTTTAACTGGCTTGATTTTTGGATCCTAAAAGAAAGAGAGGAGTTTTAGTGATAGACAGTAAGGACAACATATTTGCAACGTTGGCAGGTTTTTGCCAGATTGATTTCGGAATGTTGGCTAGGATTTTTGAAAAACATGTTTTATATTTGGCATATACAGTTTTGATTCCATTGTATTCCATTGAATACAATGCTGGCAGATCATTAAAACACTTTACACAGCTGAGGTGTAAAAAATTCAATGTGAGCCTTCCCGTTCATAAATACTATATTTTTAGTGACACCAGATGCTGACAGCATACAATGCAGTATATTGCATAAAGCCCTCTCATTGCTTGCCCGTCTTAGTTCTCGCCCGTTAGTCCATAATGTTTTGGTTAATAAACCCGGCTTTTGGAGTGTTGATAAAGTAATTTAATCTCAGGGTCCTTTTCATAAAATTGCTGTATTGCATTACTCTTATGTACCTGTTTATTTTACAGGAACATTTTACAATATTATTAAGGTGCCTGCTCAGGAATCAGAAGATGAAGGCATACTGCAAGGGGCAGAAGTAGTGTGCACAATACCTGCAGTGGACAAATGGAATCCCTCTTATTACCATAGTTTTGGTAAGTATCTTACTAAAGGAAAACTAAAATGTTTAAAAGTCAATTTTATTGTATTTGTGTTTCTAAGCTGATTTGTTCTATTTTTTTTAATTTTATTTCATTGGTTAACATTACTTTCAATTCATTTTAGATATTTGAACAATGATCTTGAATGTAAGGATTCTGTGGTACCAAGCATATATATAATTGAGAAACCTAGGGTAGGATTTATTATGCATAAAGTTATCAGGTCTGATAATGCCATCTTCTTTTCTCAGAAAATGTAATTTCCCTTTAGTACCATAAACATTTTTCCTAGTCAGATTGTATGGCGCCACATGTACATGTGTATTATCCATTCGAATTGTCTAGAATGCAACAAAAGTGTCAAGTAGGAAATGGAGGATAATGATGAAGGATAGTTAAAGGAGAACTATGAGGTGACTGATTTTCACTCAACCTCATAGTTTGAGCCGACGTATGACAATGAAACTGTCACACGTCATCTCAATAGATAGGGAAGTGAGCGAACACATACCGTCGCTCGCTCACTTCTCGATCATGTCCCTGCAGAGAGCCGTGACTGTCAGTCACGGCTCCCTGCAGGGATTCCCCCCCTCCCCGATTCAATCATCCAGCGCTGACTGGTGGAATGAACCCGTAGTTCTCCTTTAAGAAGATAGGGAATAGGTTTTTGTCTCCGCTCAAGAGGCTGAGGAGTCTGGGGGAGAGATGTTGCTCTAAAGTAATGAATCCATGGTTCACATGTTGTACTGAACAAAGTATTTTTATCTGTATCGTGTTTGTCAATTTGCCATCAGTCATGATCCAGTTAATTTGGTGTTAACTACAAACATGTCTACAGAGGAGGTTATTTATGACTTTGCTATTGCAGTTCTCACTGTTAGAAAAATATATGACATTGGACTTTGGGATTTCCTTGGAATATTTTGAATCCATCTATTCTATAAAAATCAATCAATAAACAATATACAGTGTATATACATTATATATATATATAATCTTTAACTTCTTTAAACAGAACGCATATGCATCGCAATGGCCGGCCGACAGCCTGCTTCTGACAGAAATAGCCAATAGTAATGTAGCAATGCATTTCAATGGGAATTTTTTTTTTTTATATTCTGACATCGCTCCGTATCAGAATAAAGAAAAAAAAAAGACACAGCGGTGTTTCTCTCCTGGGTGGCCGGGAACGGGAGGCTCCCAGAGCGCCCAGGAGAGGTTTTTTTTGTTTTTGTTTTCTTTCTTTTTTTTTGACGGCAGCAGAGCCGCCGGACAATAGGAATCTATTGGGCGGAGCAAGCTGTCACTGCTAGCTCCGCACAATCGTTTTCTATTTACTTTTTTTAAACTTTTTTAACTCTTTTTCTGTTCTGCTGGGTCCCTCTGAGGGACCCAGCAGAACAGCCGAGCCGAATGCCGCTCACCGGCATTCGGCTATTCACTCACTGCTGTTCGGCATCTATAAGAATAGACCGAACAGCAGTGAGTAGCCTGCCGGAGGGTCGAACTCCTTCTGCACTTCAGGTCGGCTGAACATGCTGAGCATGTTCGGCCGACCCGAAGCCATGTGAAGCAAGCCGATGTACGGCTGATTTCAGCCGATGTACGGCTGAAATCAGCCGTACCAGCCTGAAGTGAATAGCCGAACAGTGTTCGGCTCACTTCACTTGGGGTCGGTTGTTCACTCGGCTGCCCTCGGCAGCTTAGTGAATAGACCCGTAAATGTCAAAGAATTCCCAGAGCAATATGCAATACCTAAAGAGCATGGGTAGAGCTCTACAGACCAGATGGAGGGGAGTCATTGCGCTAATGCCTTTCTAGTTGATTAAAGTGATACATACTATTTTATCATGGAGATAAATGCTATAATACTAGTGACAAAACTACCTTCACATAAAAATATCAAGCAGGAAACTGCTGGCACCTATTGAAAATGCAGCAAATTATTGGTGCCTAAATGCCAGTGCAGAGAGGTTTAAACTTAGATCAAGTGATGGTTAAAACCAATTAATGCTCAAAAAAACAATGCCTGTGTATAACCTGTACATCAGTTTACTGATAACAGAACAAATAACAATGAAACCTGTCATATTTCTTAGCATCTGTCATAACATTTGAGCATGGAAATACATGTTTTTTGCTTCTGTTTTTAGTATTGTTTTGCTTTATTCCAAGGTATGACAGAAAACTATGTGGTGTTTATAGAACAGCCAATAAAGATGAGTATTTTGAGACTTATTACAGGGAAAATAAGAGGTATACCCATATCTGACTGTCTGAGCTGGGATCCGAGCTGTGATATCGTTTTCCGTGTGGCAAATAAACACACAGGAAAGGTAAGGCAGTTTAAATGTTACTTCATTTTTAATACTGCCACCGGATGTTTTTCCCTATTGTCTCATAATGTCTTAACTCTTTTAAGGTTGTACACAATATTCTGTTATGTGCTAAAAGAGTATCTTACTGCTACTAGAATAGTTTTATCTTGCTTTTAGAGTTTTAAAATACATGTCTTTCACTGTTGATTTCCAGACATGCAACATTCACTTTCCAAAATTAATAAGAAAATTAATTTTATGTTTATTTTAGCATTAATTTTATATATATAAATGCATGGGGAATTGGTGAAGTTTAAGGCAGGAGTTAAGGACTGGATGGAAATGTTTGTACCCGACTTGGTGTTGGGTTTTAAATACAGCCATGGTAATGAGTTATGTTCGAAGTGGAAGCTGGACTCCTGTTTACCTGAAATTTCTCTTATACAGATATACCTTAATGGGCAAATAAGTTGAGTTGATTTAAGGTGGAATTATATCACCTTACCACAATTGGCTACATGATCTCTGGTCATGCCTGCAATTTACCATTGTGAGATGTTCATCAGTATCTTTTCTCCTACAGCTCCATTCCGTGACATACCATACCAACGCCTTTGCAATGTTTCATCAAATAAATGCCTATGAAGACCAGGGCTGCATTGTGCTTGATCTCTGCTGTCAAGATAATGGGGATGCTGTACATCTGTTTCAGCTGCAAAACCTGCACAAATCTGGGAAAGCTTTGGATGAGGTATTGTCTCACTGAAATTAAAGACATCAGTAGACACAAAGAGGAGATACATACACGTGATTTGCAAGCTAGATTTCAGCTGGGAAATGGGTCCTGGGAAATCAGGCACAACTGACAAATTTGTTGTTAACATTCATCTAGGCACATGGGCTGATCATGGCATAGTTTTTCCTAATTTTCTCTTGTTTTTTTTAAATTATTATTTAACAACTTAAGCAGAGGCTTTTAATGTTCTCAGGTATCACATTAGCGTTAATGTAAACCTGTGCGCAGAAATTCCTCGGTCATGTTGGAGGCGGCCATCCTGAAATCGGTGGAGGCACTGAAGGGCCTACTATATAGAGGACCGAGAGCCCCGTACCCTCTCACTCCATCCATGCAAACTACTATCAGGGCCTGGCGCACGGGTTGGCCTGGTGTCCTGGGGCTGCTACAGTTATCTCTCCAGACACCCCCTTGTGGAATAACCCCCAACTGCCCCACTTTTACACAATTGCGGATCCTGCTTTTTGGGCTAAGCGTAAAATTAAATTAATATCTGATATAGTAGTGGCCAACTCCCTGATGTCATTCACCGATCTAGCCAGTTGCCGCCCCATCCCATCCAAATTTGGCTTACGATACCTACAGCTCTCCCACGCCTTCAGCTCTCAGTTTCCGGGATGTAGGATTAACATAGGCAAGTCCCCCCTGGAATCACTTGCAAGTACAGAGGGACTGGTTAAGCCGGCCTCTTGTCTCTACAACACCCTGCAGACCCTGACTTCCTCCAACCTAACAGCATTACAATCCAAGTGGAGGGGGGACATTCCTGATCTGGATGAGGAGGACTGGGAGGACATTTGGGACGAACCGTTTAGGCAATTGGTAGCAATAAGGGATAGGATGGTACAATTCAAAATTCTTCATAGAGCCTATTACACACCCCACCGTCTACATAAAATGAACACAGCCATCTCTCCGGCCTGCTGGAGATGCACATGTCGGGAGGGGAACTTCTTCCATGTTTTCTGGGAGTGCCCCCTCATTTCCTCCTACTGGGGCTCTATAGTGGACTTTATTTCTGGGGTCACCTCCTTGCCACTGCCACTATCACCCAGGGTGTGTCTTCTGGGCCTGGTGGAGGACGTAGCTCCGACCAGAGCTGAACGCACGCTGATAGGTTTGACCTTGTTTTATGCCCGCAAGGCTATAGCCATGAACTGGAAGAAGCCGGCCCCGCCGGACTTGTCCTTCTGGAAGAAGTTGGTAAATGATAATCTTCCTTTGTACCAAGACACATATGCCCACAGGGGAAGCCCTAACAAATTCCATAAAGTTTGGGATAGCTGGTTGGAGTGCACGAACTCAGTGGTAGACTGTGCAGCAAGAGTCTGAGGGGGACATAATGCCCATATGTGGATCCTAAGATAAAACTGGAGCTAGAGTCATCTGGTTAGCCCAGGAGAGGCCGGAGGCCACCCTGCAAGAGATGTTCTACTACAATAAACAGGAGGTGACCGAGCCCCTAGCTACTAAGTACATGAGCAGATGGTTTTGGCCAAGTGAGCACTGTAGGGAATTTCGTTTTTTCCCCCCGCCTGTAATTGGAAGCTTCCCGAGGGGGGCATTTCCTTCTGACCTGTAGTAACGGTTGTTATTGTTAATTTTTTTGTTATTTTTCTATTTAGACCTTAAGCATGGCTGTATGTTGTATCATTGTATGCATTGCTATGCCTGGTGCCCTCATTGGACACAAATAGCATGCACCGTTGTGCCTTAATATGTAAAACAATAAAATATTTTCTCAAGAAAACCTGTGCGCAGACTAGGCACAATAAACTATTTATATAGTCTAATCAAGCAGTAAAAGCTCTTTAAAATCGTAACCCAAGTAACATCTGTAGCTAGAGTCACTGTGGGGAAATTGGGGAAATTAATAATTAAAGTTCACAACAGAAGCACTGAAATCACAGCTATATCTTCTCAGCCTGAAAGCCCTATGATGTAAACACAAAGCAGATGTTTCTTAGCTGTTAAAAGGGACTAAAACTGGACTTAAGAGCCCTTTGTTATAATCTTTTACACTTCACCTATATCCTAACAATACAGCATGTGATGTTTCAGAAGCTAATCAGCAATCCTACTCTCTGTCCCCTGGGTCAGGTGGAGTTTGCTCAGCCTGTGTAAGATTCAGTCGGAAATTATTCACAACTTTTGATTTTTCTGCCAGTGAATCAGTTGTACAAGGGAGCAAAAGGAAGGCAATTTCCTAAAATGAAGTTAACATGTTTCTTTGCCCAGTGTGGGCAAAGTACAGGTTTCATGTTTGCTTAATAAGAGCAAGAGGTGCAAACTGTGGCAAGCTCCATCTTTTCTTAGGATACAAAATGTAAGTTGTTGCCTATAAACACATGAATAGTTTAGGATATTTTTTGAATATGTGGAATGTCTGCAAGATGGGACGGTTCTCAGACCTGTTCTCAGGTCTTATACCATACAACCTGAACATTCACAACCAGAAGTATAGTACCTAAACTATCGGTTTATACTTTACAAATGCTATGGTTACATTGTAACCACATGGCCATAGTGAATTTAGACCTTACTGGACCCCTTATACTGTTGGATCCCGAACAGCAGTGTAATATTGTTATAATTAAGCAGTTTTTTTTCTTTACTAAGAACTAAATGTCTTTTATAATCTAAAATGCATCTTTTTTTTATCAGCTCTATAATTCAGTGGCCAAGTCTCTCCCTCGCAGATTTGTGCTTCCTCTCAATATTGACGGTGACACACCACAGGATGCAAACCTCAGTCCTCTAGATTATACAACAGCTACTGCTGTTAGTCAGGACTTTGGAAAGGTAAGTTTACATGTGGTCTTTGAAAGGTCATACATGCAAATTATATGTCTCTTCGTTTGCTTCAGTATTTAAAATAAAATAGCTGGTCACTACCAATATGTACCAAATACCAAATGTTCACAGGCACAAAGATTTCCCAATGAATTGAACAGATCTATCAAATACCATTATGGTGTGATATACAGTATGCTAAGCAGCAGCAACATTAAGATAAGAATTTCTAATAACCAACAGCACAGGCTGATATAAGCCTGCCTGCCACTTGTGGATGCCTTGCAGTGAGGGGGCAAGCTCACTAGAAACCTTCTTACTGTGAGGGGTTCACAAGAGGCTGCACTACAATGGGATTTTTTTCCCACTGTAGTGCAAACAGGCACAGACCACATGAGAACTGTGCTCTGAATTCAGGAGCAGTGCAGCATTGTGGCCACAACATCACAGGACTCAGCAGTAAATGGGCTTTAATGGCAAGATAAACAGGTATTTGTGGGACTTTGCAGGGGAAATTATAAGCGTAGATGCACCCATAAATAAGTGTAGCAGCTGTTTGTTTATTGGAGGCCATAGTTCTATCCTAACTGTGGTTAGGTCAATCAGTGGAAGATAGTTTGCAATGGTCTTCTATGAGTTAATTTTTTTAGCACATGATTATCATTGTTGCTTGAATTATTAAAAGAAACATAATTCAATAAAGATAGAAAATGTTACTCTATTGTTACAAAACATGTGGCTTTCTATATAGGAATTAGTAAAATAAAATCTGCCCCCGGGCATGCCCTTTTCCCAGGTGTGGTGCACTCATGAGAACCTGTATAATGAAACGTTTGAAGATGTTGGAAGCCTAGACTTCCCAGCCATCAATTATTCCAAATACAACACCAAAAAGTACCGTTATTTTTATGGATGTGGACTTTGGCATCTTGTTGGAAGCAGCCTTATTAAGATGGATGTGGTAACCAAGGAAATGAAGGTGATAATATATTTGTTTCCTTTTAGGGAACTGGAGAAAATGTTTAGTGTTTCTACTTTTTAAATGGTAAAAAAAACCTTCCCAGTCCTTTTTTTTCCATCACGTGTAGCATGTCAGATTTAGTTACTATACAGTTAAAGTTTATGCGATGTAACATCACTAAACTGCCACTTACATACCATAATAGCACCTTCCGCTTCTTGCTTTTTGGCACAGTTTTCTTTTCGAGTGCCCCAGGGGCCCAGAAAGGAAAGGACACCTATTTATGGAAATCACTGTGGGAGAGAGCTCAGTCCTGCACACTTTGGTATCTCACTGTTAGCTCATCATTAGCTGCCTCACTGTCCAATAGGAGGAAAATTATTGTATGATTGAGTACAAAATGTGTTGGGTATCAAACTGGTCCTATTATGTCCACTATCTACCTCCTCACAATATCTGCTGATTGAAAAAAAAAAAAACCACAGGGATGTCATCAGTGTTTTTGCCATAGAGGGCTAGGTTTGGCCGAGAAGGATTATTGGGCCAAATGTAGTGTTTCTACCAATAAGCCTTACTGAGAGTAGTAATTGAAGAGACATTGGTGGATGTACCCATAGCTGCACTGAGGAAGAAACAGGAGAGGCACTTCTCGTGAAGCTCCGCTGCCAGCGACAGCTGCCCACTCAACATAGCTCCTAATAAACAGAGGGCAGCAAACCGCTGTCACTGAGCTCCGATGATTACAATGGAAGAGCTGCACAATCCCTATGTAATCTGCAGGACAGAGCTGTTAGTTTGACAGCTCCATCCTGCTTTGCATTCATTAATTACTATCCACTCATATTTTAAGACAGAAAAATCCTTATGTCACATTAACATTGATTAACATTCATATTTGTTGTGTTAGTCACATGTGCATGTTTTTGGTTGTAAGATTTGGCAAGAAGATGGTTTCTATCCCTCGGAGCCAGTGTTTGTGCCTAGACCAGATTCTAATGAAGAAGATGATGGAGTTATCCTCTCAGCTGTTCTCACTCCCCGTCAGGTAGATTTGAATCGCAAACATCTCAACAAAGTAACATAAAATATATACTGTACACTGTGCATGCATAGATAGCAGAAGACTGCCATGTCTAAGAAGGCAAAGAGCGAGCACCACTGGTTATTTTAATTATCAGTAAAGAGTTTAATACTAATTTAATAGTACTTTAAAGTCACATGACTAAAGAGCCTTATCATTGTGTTAACGCTTTGTGGATTGAGCCTTCTTGAGCCTTATATGTCCTAACTTTTTACCCAGCAATACTGGCAACTGTGTAACAATCAAAATATATGAGCTACAACAATTTTCATAACTTTTAATAATGAATCCAGATCCCGCAAACTTACACTGACCAACAAAATATTTCATAAATTGTTTTCCCAAGCATTAGTCATCATGATTCTCAGCAGCTAACTCTCTCAGCGGGGCAGCGGCCTCATGATGTGCCTGCAGGGCTGTCTTCAGTGCCTCCTTGTTCCGCGGCTCCCTCCTCACAGCGGCCGGCGGGACCCATACTATCTCAGCCGGCGGACAGGCCCCCTCATTTCAGTGCGTCGCCTCCCCCCCCCATTTTGGATTGTCAGATGTTAAGATCAGTATCCGGCGGCTGACGGGCCCCCCATCTCTGTGCCGGGAGTGTCCCGGATGATACTCCCGGCGCAGAGACTGGTGGCCCGCTGGCTGCTGGATACCGATCCGGTGCTATCTCGTTATACATTGCACTCCTCTCTACATATACCTTACCCCCCTCTCCTATATATAAACTCCCCATCTCGCTATATACACATTGTCCCCCCATCTTGCATCTCTCTCTCTCTCTCCATTGCCACCTCTATACATTGCCCCCTCTCTATACACATTGCCCCCTATCGATACACATTGCCCCCTCTATATACATTGCCCCCCTCTCTATACACATTGCCCCTATCGATATACATTGCCCCCTATCTATACACATTGCCCCCTAGTGCTGGGCCCCCTACAGGCCCGAGGCCCTGGTGTGCCCGCACCGCCTGCACTGGCGGTAGTTCCGCCACTGGCTGGAAGGAAAGCATACTGCTGGTGCAGAGGAGTAGCTTTATAATGAATTGGTACCGCTAGTGCAGCTGACTGTACCTGGGGGGCACATTCTTATATGGAAACAATTGTGGTTTTAGGTCTGACACCCAGGCCACTGAGAAGGCTCTTGGGAGCACCCGCATGAATCAGTCTGGTAGTCATGTGAGGGTATAACTAGTGCCCTACTTAGTCCATGGCTCATGTGGTCGACCTGTAAATCTGCTCCTATAAAGCAGTGCATTCTACTGTTCTGTAAAGGACATTGTTTGAAAGCTGTATGAATAATTTTGCCATAGTTGTATTCATTGGAAGCCTTCAGAACCCCCAGTAAACAGCGTGTGGAGATAGCTGATTACCTTTTGAGCATACAGGAGCCCTACAGCTCCATGGACCTGGAATATTTTGTACTGCTTTCATCTATGTGACTGGACCTATGGCTTGTATATACAGTATACATTGCTGTACACATGATTGCTAAAGCCAGGGGCATCCTGAGGTGTGGTGTCACCCGGAGAGACCACCAGGTGACACCTCACTGGGACATCATCACGCATGCGCAGATCCAATGCTTATCTTTTATTGGCATATTTGTGGCTACACATCAAGAACTATAGTATAGTTAAATGTATGCAAGGACACATAGCAAATGTCTCCCTTTGGCGCCAATCAGAAGTCAGTGGGCTGTATTTATGTGCACTGAGCCCAAGAAACACATGCTCCAACCTATAAATCTATGATACTTATAATAAATATATAAACATTTTCATACAAACATGGAGTAATTATTTTCTGCTTCCTTGTAGGATAAAACAACATTTCTGCTTATCCTAGATGCCAAAGTCTTCACAGAAATTGCCCGAGCTGAAATTCCTGTACAAATGCCTTATGGATTCCATGGAATGTTCTTACCTCAACAGTAATCTAAGAGAATCTGTCAGCAAATTAAATTTTTTTAAGTATAAAGTCCTGTCTAAGCAGGTAGCACAAGGTGCCCCTATTACCATCTTTAGCAATGAGTGAAGATATTATCCCTGAAGTCAGGGAAATGAGCCCTTGGTGAAAATGTTAAACTAAGATCATAGGTGCACAACGAGCAACCTTTTCTGGCACACAAAGACTATAACAGGGTCCTGGGACTATTCCTTGGCCAGACTATTTAAGATGGCTGAGAGATTTGCTTTAATGTGAAACGTGCCTTTCATACTGATACAGTTCTTAGTAAACCTCTTTTCACATGTACTTTTCAACTTGTTTTAGCTTGTTATGCCTAGACGTCAAAGTAATTGTATACTACTTAGGCAGAAACATATATGGTAAGTACTTATCTACTAGTATTTTGTAAATACAAGTTATAGTTCTTAAGATAAAAAATGATCTGGTTACAGAACAGCTGGAAGCAGGAAATACAATTTTAGAGTATAAACCAGTAAATATGAGTGTTTACATCATTCGATTTGCTCCTCAGGGAGAATCAAGTCAGTTACTATGTGCTAATACCATTCCATGGGGACATATTACTACATTTGCCTTATATTCTGGGGAGTTCATGTTTTGTGTCTATAGGAACAGGAGGCATCTTCTCTTTATTTTATTGTTTCACAACAATGCGTTGTCATTTTAAAGTGAACCTTTCCCTTCCACAGTCATATAAACATGGTGGTCATTTTATAATCTGCTCCATCAGTTATTTCAAAAGCATTGATTCCTTCCTGAGAACTTGCAGCCAGAGCAGACCAAACAGCGCTTGCATTGATATGCAAATCTTGACTTTTTTGATTCTGAGGAAGAGGGCTTGCCCCTGAAACGCGTCAATCTTGGCTGACTGCGGTCGGTGGACGTTGATGTGACCGGATACTACCGTGTTACATAGTCGGGGGGATACCATGTTGGGTCAACAGACAGTGTGGCCTCTCGTTTGTTGTTAAAGCCTGATGAAAACGTTTGTTTTAGGGATGTCCCGATACCGATGCTAGCATCGGAATCGGGCCCGATACAGGGCATTTTGACAAGTACTTATACTTGTCAAAATGCCCCGAAGCCTAGCGCCGAAGCTTGCGCTATGTTTTTTTTTTTTCTTCTTACTTACCTCGCCGAGCGTCGCGTCACTGCTGCTCCGGTGGGCGGCGCTCCGAGCGGGGTCATCTGGCAGTCTCCGGGTCCTAATTTAGGTGGGGGATTTATTAAGCAATTATGTATTGTTTGCACTGTATTAGCAGTATATACTCTATATACTACATATAGAGTATATACTGCTAATACAGTGCAGACAATACATAATAACATGAATGGATTAAATGATCTGTATGTAGCCCTGTACTAGGGATCATTTAACCCATTCATGTTAGCAGAGGATCATTGTAAATGTATTGTTGCAGGCACTCTATATGTACATGTACTATATACTACATATAGAATGCACTGAACAATAGATTTACAATTATCCTCTGCTAATATGAATGGGTTAAATGATCCATAGTACATGATATGTAGCCCTGTACTACAGATCATTTAACCCATTCATGTTAGCAGTGCAGAATTGTATGTCTATATGTACTGTACATATACAGCACAAATGCCCCGTACATTGCAGCAATAGAGTTACAATGATCCCCTGCTAACATGAATGGGTTAAATGATCCATAGTACAACTACATGTTATATACTATGGATCATGATTTAACCTATTCATGTTAGCAGGGGATAATTGTAACTATTACTGCAGTGTACGGGACGTATGTGCTGTATATGTGCTATGGATCATGATTTAACCTATTCATGTTAGCAGGGCAGAATTGTGAGCGCCTCCCACAAGCTGAGCACCGAGATGCGATGCAGCGATCCTGCCCAGTGCCGACTCCAAGAGGCACCGCATGAGGCTACGGGGATCGGCATGAAACTGTGAGTAAGGGAAGCTGGGATGGGGCTGGCTGTAAATCTATTGCTATAGTGTACTGGACGTGTGTAATGTATATGTAATACATATATACAGCACACACCTCCACTACACTCCAGCAATAGAGTTACAATTCTCCACTGCTAACATGAATAGGTTAAACCATGATCCAAAGTACATAACATGTAGTTGTACTATGGATCATTTAAAGTCACCTGTCCCTTTAAGAAAAAGGTAATTGGTATCGGCAAGTACATGAGGGGATGTACTTGTACTTGTACTTGTACTTGGGCCTGAAAAAGTGGCATCGGGACATCCCTAAGTTTGTTTGTGAGTACTTTTATCCCTTGTTTTATTTATTGTAATAAACGATTTTACACACGGAGGTGGCGCTGTGTTCCCTTTTGTTTTCTGGAACATCAGGTATGCCTGCTCACCACTGGAGGACAGATTGGGTTTATCTGTCAATCTCAGACATCTCAACTCTCCCGGATGTTCCGGGAGTATCCCGCTATTAGATAGCGGCTCCCGCACACCCGGTAAAGAAACATTTTCTCCCGGAAAGGTTTACTCTGCTCGATCTAGCAGAGTAAACCTTTCCCTGCTCTGTTTTCTTTTCTGACATTGGCGGCCGCCGTCGGTCAGAAAAAAAAAAACGGCATAGGAATGAATAGCTGGATTGCTATCTGCAATAGCCAGTAGCAGACTAGCTATTGCACCCGCCCACTGCTGCTGTCAATCAGTACAGGTGGACCTAAAGTTCTCCATCAGGTCCTGACTGACAGCAGCAGAGGGCGGGTGCAATAGCCAGCTTGCTATTTGCTATTGCAAATTGAAATAGCCAATAGCAGCCTAGCTATTCATTCCTATGCTTTTTTTTTATTCTGACGGCAGCAGCTGTCAGATTACTAAAAAAAAAAACAACAGATAGCAGGGGAAGCAATAGCTTCTTTGCTATCTGCCATCATTTCAGGGGCGTGCTCTCTTCCTTGTTGTTGCAAGGGAGGGTTGACAGAGGGCACCTCCCTGAAATGAGAAGGGCACCTCCCTGAATGACTTTTTTCAGGTTGGGATCCCTGCAATCTTAGCCCACTTCAAATTGTTTTAATCTGAGCTGAATTTTGAATTTAGTAGTTTTGTGCTCCACATGCCATATTTATTGAAAATATGTAACATTTATGTACACAACTGCATCCTTTTACACAACTCAAACACACAAATGATAAAATACAACCATTTCCTCTGAGGTCTATCTACTAGTATTTTGTAAATACCAGTTATAGTTCTTAAGATAAAAAATGATCTGGTTACAGAACAGCTGGAAGCAGGAAATACAATTTTAGAGTATAAACCAGTAAATATGAGTGTTTACATCATTCGATTTGCTCCTCAGGGAGAATCAAGTCAGTTACTATGTGCTAATACCATTCCATGGGGACATATTACTACATTTGCCTTATATTCTGGGGAGTTCATGTTTTGTGTCTATAGGAACAGGAGGCATCTTCTCTTTATTTTATTGTTTCACAACAATGCGTTGTCATTTTAAAGTGAACCTTTCCCTTCCACAGTCATATAAACATGGTGGTCATTTTATAATCTGCTCCATCAGTTATTTCAAAAGCATTGATTCCTTCCTGAGAACTTGCAGCCAGAGCAGACCAAACAGCGCTTGCATTGATATGCAAATCTTGACTTTTTTGTTGAAAGTCAGCAGCTAAGCCCTTAACTCCATATCTAACCACTATTCCTGGCTGCTGACATCTGTAGAGAACAGTGACCAATGACTGTCACAGGATAAGTGGAGGTGTATTTGACATGCAGGGTTTGATTGGCAGCCTGGCTTCACCTCTGACGCTTATTGATGGAATAACTGGGTCTTGTTGGACAGACTGGTACATAGTTTTTCTTCATCAAATATGTAATGGTGAGTTGTCAATAAGCTCAATTAGGGATGCACCGAAATTTCGCCGAAAATGGTACTATGGGCAAAATGCAGACAGTACCAAAGCGGCTGAAAATACGGCCGAAAAGTTGGTGCATTCCTAGCTTCTCTCTTTCCCGCAGGACACCGGTCTGTGTCCCCTCCAATCCCCCCTGCTCTCCCCCGGCCTGTGTCGGCAGAGGCAGCAGGGATCAGAGGGGACACCCACCGGCTCCCGGCGGGGAGGAGAGAAGCTGTCAGGAGGCCAAGCGGGGCGGAGAGGAGACGTGTCAGAGGAGGCGAGCTCTCTTCCCGCTCCAATAGTTCAATTTTCTTTCTCCATGGATGTCCAGGAACTGACTGCAATAAGTCAACTTTCAGAGGAACTCCAGCAGTTAGATTCTTCAGCTCATGTTCCTGGTTCTACTACCACCTAGCATACGTTGGGTATACATGGGTAGATTTTTGCACGAATGTTCATACGAAAAATACTGCCAGAACGTTGGATACAGGCATAAAAAACTTTCTGATTGTCGTTTTGAAATTTTGTTTAATTTCCGCTTTTATTTACCATTCTATTTTTAAATGGAGTTTCTGGACAAAAACCACATTGACTGTTAGAACTTTGTTTGATCGAGAAAAATTTTCCAACATGCTCAAAAATGTTCGGGAACATTGTCGTTTTGTCTGTCGATTGCACCACACTAAGCGATAGATATTCGAACAAACGTTCCAAAAATGACTTCTGTCATATGAAATTCTAACCTTGTATATATACTACTTTTAAGTTTTGGATTTTCTCATTCACTTTCTTCTGTTTCACATGGATATTATAAAACGTGTAAGATGTAAAATGTCTTCATAAATCTTTATTTCTGTTAGTCATTTCCCTGTTATGTATTATGGAATCCCAAAGCAAAATGTTTTGGTGCTTTCTAAATGAAATAAAACATTTTTGTTAAATCGTTTCTTTTTATTTTAGTAGAAAACACAAAATGAGTAAACTGACAATAGGATTGGTTGGCCTCTGAATAGGATAGACAGCCTCGCTAATAAGATGCAGGAGGTGGTTGGCTACTGAATGTGATAGACAGCCTCGCTAA